GTTTAGCTGCATTTTTTTGTCTAATTAGCAGTCGTAGGTCGGGCGGAAAGTTAAACCGTCGGTCGCCCGACAGTTTCACCGTCCGTTCCGAGTCTGTGACTGCGGAAGTAATAGTTTCACGGAGACTCGCTATCGCTCGATTTGCGTCATCGAACGTAGCTATCGTCTCGGGTAAGTCTACTAAGTTCTGGGGGTCCAAGGCCTTGAGTTTGACCTCAAGACGATGCCAGTCCACTACGGATTTGGTCGGAGGGACCGCGCCGGCGTTCTGGCCCAGTTTACACAGGACGGGCCTGTGGTCTGAATCTAGTTCATGGATTGTCTCTATCGACTCGATGTCGAGCGAGACCTCCCTGAATAACATTATGTCTAGGACACTCGGTGACGCGTGCTGGTAGTTGTCCACCGTAGGATACCTAGTGGGAGTCGCGGGAGCGACTATACTGAAATTTAGGTTATCGGATAAGCTAAAGAGATGCTTTCCGTTGTTGTTTGGGATGCTGTTAATGTCCCATGAGCCGTGTTTGCAGTTTAGATCTCCTGCAATTATCACGGAAGGGCCTAAGTTTAGAAGCGTATCTAGGTCGCTTTGAAGGAGGGTTCTATTCCCCGAGAGGTAGGCTGAGACTAGTACAAGCGGCCTGTGGCCGGTGAGCGCTAACCTACACGCGGATGCCTCTATTTGACTTAGCTCTGGAATGTCGAGCGGGCAACAGTGCAAGGACCGTTTATAATAAATTAGTGTGCCTCCCAGACGGTTTGCTAACCGGTCGTGGCGGACAATATTGTAATTTGCGATTCTGGGATCGCGTACACTTGGTTTCAAGAATGTCTCTTGCACTAAGAAAATATCTATGTTATAATCGCGAAGGAGTTCCGCGATTTCATCCCTTTGACCCTTTATGCCGTTTGCGTTGAAATACGAAACAACCAGAGCCCGAGGTTTTGATCTACCTGCGGTTGTACTTCCCATTAAAGTGCCTTTATGGGTCTAATTAACGACGCGGCGGAGCGCGGTTTTATTGCGCGGACTATTGATCTTTATGGTTGGCTCGTAAAAGCCCAAAGGGCTTCCACAAGCGTTTTGTGTTGGCTAATTGCCCTAAGACGCTCGTGGCCAGATGTGGCGGCCGCTAATTTAGCGGACAATACGGCGAGTTCCTGTCTATTTATTGTGTCCAATAAACTGCAAATGTTCGCTATTTGCGCGAATGGGTCGTCTTTGTTTTCCGCGAAAACTGACGGATTTGGCTGCACCTGCGGCCGCGGCGCCGTTTGAGAGGCGGGCAGCTGTTTCGCGATCGGTTGTGAGGCGACCGGGATTACCGGCGCGGTTACCTGCGCGGCCACCTGGGGTTTCGCCCAGGCGTTTACGACGGGTACGGGCGCGGGAATGAATTTAACGGGCGCGGGTTTGGGCAACGTCGATTTCGCGGGAGATTTCCTCGCGGGAGTTTTCGGGGCCTTTGCGCAGCCTCTATAACTAGCCGGATGACCGGTAGTGTGGCAATTTACGCAGTCCGGTGGATCTGCGCAATCTTTCGCCCTCGTGCACTCGGTTGTGCCGTGGTCACCGGTGCATTTGACGCACCTTGGGTGAGCGAAGCAGTTATTGGCCGTGTGGCCAAAATGTTGGCAGTTGTGGCACTGTGCCACAACACCTGACTTACGTGGGGGCTCGATGACTAAGTCACTGAGCCCACAGACCCTCTTGAGGTTAAAAAATGGCCTTACCTTCCGGGGTAGGGTCAAGTTCCACCATGACCATGTCCATAGGGACACGGGTGCGAGGGTGCCTGAGACGGCGCACGGCGTGGACAGGGTATCCCTGAGTGCGGATGTCGACCTTAGCCATATCGACATCCGACTCTTTTGGGACGCCCTTTATTACGACCCGAAGTTTGCGCTCTTCGGGTAGAGAGTAGGTGTGGAAACCTACCTTAGCTTCGCGCAAGTATTTAGTTGCGCGACGGAAGTCGTCCGAAGAATTGAGGTATACGCGGATACCCATTTGCGTATTCTTGGACCGGGGGTCTCGGATGTTGTGGCGTTCAAACCACGAACAAACTTGGTGCCACTTTGCCTTATCTTGTATTATTATAGGTGGCGGTGGCTTAATTTTTCGCTCGGAGGCGAAAGTCGGTTCCGACTGGGCAGACGCGGTTGCCTTTTTGGCGGGCGTCGCGGTGGGACGGTTTGACGGGGCGGCCTCGCTTTCGGGGTCGCTGTCGGTGGCGGGGCGTTTCTTGCCCTTTTTCCGCGATTTGACGACGGTGAAGCCGTCGGCGTTCGCGTTATTAGCGGGGGTCGTTTCGACCTCCATGTCTGAGCCGCCGTCCGATTGTGAGTCGGGAACGACAGCGCAGAAGGGGGCCGAATTGGATTGCGCGGAAGGCGCGTTAAGATTGATCGCGGCGGCGGAGGTCGACGCGACGGGCGTGTTAATTGTCGCAGAGGGCGACACAATAACTGGTGCGGAGGGCACCGGAGATGGCGGCGAGACGGCAGCCGGTGAAGCCGGACTGTCGCTAGCAAATTCGACGGCTAGGCGCCGTTCCTTCGCGAAATTTAAAAACTTTGCCCATATTTCAGGGCATTCCTCCCGCAGGAACTCCTCTAAGAGGGAACCCATGACGCTTGTGCCTTTGGGGCTTGCGCCCCGCCGGCGTGTGTTTTTCTAAAATAGGCCTCCCCACCTTGCGGCAGGGAGGTGTGTGCCTAAAATTACCCTTTAATCGCCTGCGCTTTAGGTGCGCTAGGGTGAGTACCTAGCTGTCGCCTAATGCAACAAGCACACAGATAAAAATTACAATGCCGCCTCTGAGACGAGAAATGTGTGTAGAATTCTACTTACGGACAGGAACCTGCCTACGAGCACAACACTACACTAACACTATCCGCTCGGAAGTCGGGCAAAGTTTCTTCTTTCTTCTGTAACTTTTCTTCTATCTTCTATAATTATTCTTCACTCTTCTTGCTTGAGACTTCCCTAACCGTAGACCGCGAGACACGACAACGATGAGGCAAGCAGTGCACACCGAGATATAAAAGAAATAATATAAATAGCAACAACGGTTGCAAGATGGCTTCCGGGTCGGTTGGCATGGGCCCTCCGGCTCAGATGAACGTCCGTTCCGTGTGGAAGCACGAAGCGGAATCCTAACAACACATCAACGCGTTCATCAGTGCGCATCGGAATAAATTTTGTCGTCTGTGCAAAACGAAAGATCTAATTCACGCAAAATTTTTTGCTAACTCTTTACGACAACACAAATATATTGCTCATTATATTAATAACGGTCAGCGTGAAAAAGCCTACATAAATTTATGAAGCTGTTACTAATTGCTTGACAAAGAGTCATGCATTAATTCGAAGATTGGTATAAATTCTTTTGACTGATTTGAATGAAGTGAACATTTAAAGTGAATACAATCATTAAAATATGTAGAAAAAGTGCGAAAAGATTGTTGCCGCTGTGGGAATCGAACCCACGTCTTCGGCATTCGCGGCCTGACGCTCTAGCCACTGAGCTAAACGGCTGATTGACACACCGACGAAAATCTTAACACATTCTTCTGCATTGTTTTCTTAGCATTTGAAGCAATGCTTGGCGCCATCTATTGTTATATCCTTTCCAGCATACAAACAATTTCGAATATCGTTTTAGAACGATAATTCGAACGAGAAATGTCGCCATTGCTTTTTTAGAAATTTAAATTGTTTATAGTGCTAATCTTTGTACTTAAGATTGAACATTAAAATATGTAGAAATCGGTGTGGCAATCAGCCGTTTAGCTCAGTGGCTAGAGCGTCAGGCCGCGAATGCCGAAGACGTGGGTTCGATTCCCACAGCGGCGACAATCTTTTCGCACTTTTTCTACATATTTTAATGTTCAATCTTAAGTGCAAAGATTAGCACTATAAACAATTTAAATTTCTGAATACAATCAGTTTTAAGGTTTCATATTATGTTTTGAGATCAATAGGTATTACAAAACAAGTAATTTTAAGGGATATAAAGAAAATAACGCAGAAAAGTCGGCTATTAATAAAAAAATAAAAAAAATTGCGCTACGAAGTCCCACCGGAAATTTTGTTAGACGTTAATCATCAAGTGAAATCTGGAAATCAAAGGCGATATTGGACAAACTAACACCTATCGCCGTAATATGGTGATAAGAATCTAAACGGGCGCTATATAAAGTAAGTACGCTGATGATTTTACAAGTCAATCTATTACCAAATAACAGGATGGGACGGACAGCCTTTTTGGTACTTCTAAGGTATGTGACTTACCCTAATGATAAATTGATTCGGCTTATAGGCAAAAATTTCATAATTTAATATCTATGTCAAGAAGGTAAATATCTAAAGTTAAATATAATTATCTTCTGTCTCAAGAAGTTAAATACCGATTACAAATTTACGGTGGTAGGGCCACGCAGCAGTCTCGGCTGTTGCACGAATGGGCAGGTTCGTCCGGGTAAGTACCACGACCTCACAGAAGACCGGCGTAAAGTGGAAGTATGATACTTTCGCATTTCGTCTGGTGAGTGAGGTAGCCGGAGCCCAATTTCCAAAAGGTTTTCAACAATCTGCAACCCTTAAGTGTAGTAGATGTCCATGGGCGGCGGTATTCACTTAACATCAGGTGTACCGTCTGCTTGCTTGGCAACTTTTCACATAAAAAAAATTTTAGTGATTATACCTTGTAACTCCTTTGCTTCCTTACTAGTGACTTAATAAGTTGTCGTGTAAGTGTCATGGGCATGTGCCATTCTTTTCGAAAATTACATTTTTTGATTGATTACGGACAGTCTAGCATTTACTTCTGAATGAAGATCTGCAATGAAGTACGTCAAAACGCCCAAAAACTTCCCAGTTAAAGTGGAACTCATTAAGTACATGTAATAGAACTTTTAAAACGCAAAATATCATAAAACAATGACAGTCACTAAAAATCAATAATGATAACTCATTGTTATCACGATAAAGAGTCATGATTGAAATTCACCCTCAATTCTCGTCCAGTTATCCCAATTCTGCCAAAATCATCGTGATTATCATCACCTATAATAACGAGCGTTTTAACCCTTCTAGCGTCTTAATAGCTGGGACGACAGAAGGAAAACCGAAGCAGCGTTTAAGTAAGTTCCCTGAAGATTTCGAGTTCGGATCGGCTACGGCTGCATACCAAGCAGAAGGTGCTTGGAATGTTGATGGTAAGCATTGCCTAATTTTATTTATGTTACTGAATGCTTTGCAATGTTCAATGATACCTCGAGGTCAAAAGTCACGGTCTCACTTGAGTGCTTCTTCGAGTTTGCCAAGAGTTTAGAGCCCTGTGTTATATTTGGCCGTTATTTAACAGGGAAAGGACTTTCGATATGGGACCATCTGGTACGCACAAAACCAGAACAAATATTCGACAACACTACCGGTGACGTAGCGGCCAATTCCTACTTTCTTCACAAGAGAGACACTGAAATGCTCAAAGAGCTTGGAGTTAAAAACTATAGGATGTCAATTTCCTGGCCGAGGATACTGCCAAACGGTGACGCAAGTCAAGTGAACCCACTGGGTATCGCCCATTATAACGCCGTAATCGACGAGCTGCTCGCAAATGGTATTACACCATTTGTCACAATTTACCATTGGGACCTACCACAGCACTTGAGCGAAAAGGGAGGCTGGCTGAACGATGAAATAGTGGACTGGTTTTCGGACTACGCTAGGATTCTCTACGAGAACTTTGGCGACAGGGTAAAGAATTGGTTGACGGTGAACGAGCCGTGGGTCCACTGTTATCTGGGCTACGGGTCGGCACTACACGCGCCGCAGGTCAAATCACCGGGAGTGGGCTATTATGAGTGCGGTAGGAACATGCTTTTGGCCCACGCCAAGGCGTACCGCATCTACGACGAAGAGTTCAGGCCGTCGCAGGGCGGTGAGGTTGGAATCGTGCTTAGCTTGGACTGGCCGATAGCAGAGAGCGACTCGGAGGACGATAAAGATGCCGTTAAAGACTACATTGCATTTGGCGTAAGTAACTTTGTTTTATTATTCAACAAATATTGAAAAATGGAGGGTACTGTAACGTTCCTTCTTACACAATTATGTATGTAGAATTTATTACTTTGAAACATTTCAGAAGACCTGGACTACAATAAATTTAAATTAATTTAAGACAACGCAAAGATCAAGTGTTCGCGTAAATGAGCAAAGTACTTATAGAAACTGCAATAAGTACTCTTTACTTTGTATGTTCTGCCATTTCGCACTGTAAATAAAAATTGAGGTGTATGCATTTATGCGAACCTAAAACCAGACACTAGAAATTGTTAATTTTTTTTAGAGGTTGGATAGGTTGATTGATTAAATTGTTTAGTATTATTTTAAACTTTTTAATGCTAATAGAGTTTTTAGAAGTCGGTTCTTTTATTTTGTTAAAAGACTTATCTTCCTTCTACTACCATCCTTCTAATACAATGCATATCTGCACAGCAAATAAGTAATCACTCTTTTCCGCAAGAAAAAATCACATGACACATACATACGATACCGATAACATATACCATTTCTGCTGCAGCTCGGACATTTTATGGACCCCATATTCACTAAGACTGGCAACTATCCACAAAGGGTGATAGAACGCGTGGAAAAAGCCAGCATCCAGCAAGGATTCAATGCTTCCAGACTTCGCCCTCTAACTGAATGGGAGATTGACTATATTAAAGGCACATCTGATTTCCTCGGACTCAATCACTACTCCAGCAAGATTGTTTACAGGAACGAATCTGTAGTTGGGCAGAACGAGGTACCATCAGTACTAGATGATGCTTTTTACGGCCAATATATTGATCCTTCTTGGCCGTTCACTGGTGGTTATATTTACGTAGGTATTATGTCATTATTGGATGAGATGTCGAAAGAAATTCGTTAAGAGCAATTTCAAAAGAAATTTCCATCTTCCAGGAATACGCACCGGGCTTCTATAGTCTTATCAAATACGTGCAAGAGACCTACAACAATCCAAAGGTTTACATCACGGAGAATGGCTGCTCTGTTACCGAAACCGGTCTCGTAGACCCCATTAAGGTGCAATACTACAGAAACTACTTGAGTGCACTTCTCCAAGCAATAGAAGAGGGAGCAAATGTAAAGGGCTACTTCGCTTGGAGTTTGATGGACTCCTTTGAGTGGAACTTCGGTTACACGTAAGTTCTCACGTGAAATTGTTTTCAATAATTTACAATGATTTAATGATTTGTTACCAAGGACAAATAGTGCGTAGGAAAGTTATGCCCCCGTCACTAATGTTATTCTTATTTTTATTTTTAAGTCAATTAATTAATCAACGAAATAATACAATCATTCTCAAGATGCCGCCAGAAACGCCGATTACCTTCAGCACTGAATGGCATCCCACAGATTTGCTTAGTATTCTATTAACGGGTTTCCATATGAATTTCAGCATAAAATTCGGCCTCTACGAGACCGACATGAACGACCCAGACAGGAAAAGAACCGCGAGGAAATCTGCCCTCGTGTACAAAGAGATCGTAAGGAGCAAGGTTATTGACTACGAATACGACATCGACCCTTACAGCCAGTAAATTCAGATAACTACTGCTGATTCTTCGTGTGAAATTCTATATAATCATGTATGGCTATGATTAATATAAGATTTGTAAACGTCAAACTTTTAATTTTATTAAAAATACTTTCGAAAGTAGCTGTTCTTGTATCTTTCCTCATCTCATGATAGGGTACTTCGGTCGTCTTATACTAATAAACAATACATCCCAGCCCACTTCACCGGGTTTTAGCTTATTCGCAAGAGCGTCTGGGCGCGTATCCCGAAGACGTGGGATCGTATCCCACAACAGTGGCGAGAAACTTTTCGTTCCTTTTTTCTACAAATTTCAATAAACATTAAATTTTGTAGAAAAATCTTAAGTGCATATATGCATTATAAAAATTAAAAAAATAAATTTTAAAGCAAAATGTTATTTACTTATATAACTATACATCTTCATATGTATATATTTAAATGCTTGTATGTATTATATCTATTATTTTATATAATATTGTATTTTATATTATATATCCAAAGATAATTTATGCTATTTACTATATGGTCCTTATTTCTTACTTACTTATTTTATTCTGATTATTTAAAATTTTATTACTCCTGCATCTTTGCGGCACCTACAGTAAAATCTAACCACATCCTAGGTTGACTGGTAGAGAATGCCTTTGGGCATTGAGTCTACACTTTGATACCTTGTTTAACTTAACGTTGGATACAGAATAAAGATTATTAAGTAAATAAATATATTTGTTATTACTTTTACACAGAAGAACATAAAACACAATCCGAATAAAAAAACGATCTTGCAACATCGGCTGTAGTTAAAAAATAAATGTCAATACGAATACGTAGTGAAATAAACTATAAATTTGTAGGCTAAATCGCCGTGATAACATTTTGCTTTTATACTTTGAATCAATCCAGCCATCGATTTTTCAAGGCAAGGTGAAAAAAAAGCTTTTTAACCGATTACAACTAGTATGCAATCATTCTATTGCCATTGCTATATTTTTCTATTTAAATATACCTCTTGTTTGTTAACAAAACTGAGTGCTTGAAATATTAAAACGCTTATTAATGTTAAATGATGACAAAACACTTTAATGGATAATTGATTTTAATATTCGTATATATCTTATTTATTTATTTGCACACTTTATTGTAGTAACTGGTACAAACGGCGGGCTTAATGCATTAAAGCATTTTCTACCAGCCAACCGGATCTACTGTTCTGGGGTGTTCTGAATTTTGGGTGTCAACACGTAAAATAAGCACTCAAAAATGCAATAAATAATTTAATTCGAACCGGTCGGGTATTAGAACTCGGGTTGCTTGAGTACTATTATCTAACATTTCTTCAATGGCCTTATTGTTTGTTACTTTCTTTTTTTGTACATTTTTTGAAGTTGAACGTTTAAAAACGAAAGAATAAACGTTTCTTCTTCTTTCTTCTTCAAAATACTAATATATTATTAAAAAATATGCATAAAAATACATTAAATAAACATAGAAAACATTACACACAGTATAATATATTTGTCACACACATACTGTTTTGTTTATTGTGAATTGTTTTTGAGAATAGATTTACATTTTTCAAACTTATTATGTAAATTAATTATGGTCGAATTTCGACCACTCTGCACTCTGCTTTAGTACAAAATAAAGGGCCATGCATGCAAAGCAATTTAATTTTAAATTTTGCAAAGCCAAAATGTTGTATATCCTTTTAAAACTTTTCAACCTTTTCCGGGTAGCCCTTTGAAGCTAACTTCCCGGCCTTCAGTCCTTGTTTCATTGGTCCCAATTCTAATAAGCGCGTCATCTTCAATGTTGTGGTTGAACCAGCGGTGAAAAGAAAATGGAATGTTTAACCGTTCTACTCAAACAAAGCTAATTGAATCCTTCCGCTTCACGCCGCTCTTCTGTGAGGTCATAGTAATTCCCCAAACGAGCCTGCCCATTTCTGCAACGGAAACTGAATATAGAAAAATGTTGTTTTAATGTTTATTCAAATAATAATGTAATTCGTTAAAATAACATAGCTTTAATTTGACTTTTCTTGCCTTGTCCTTCCAATTTTGCTTGTAGCATTTTGACGAATTTGCAAAGTGATTTTTTTTTCTTTCTTTTATGCGGGAAGGTGGCACCAGTAACCTCACAAGCCAGACGAAACGTGTAGGTAATACTTCTGGTCTTTTGCGGGGCAATGGTACGTACCTGAACCATCCTATTTAATTAAAATATCAATTGAAGCCTGATGGTGAAATGACATTTTCATGTAATAATAAAGCCTCGTTATTCCTTAACTTACAGAGTTTTTGATTAAATTTATGAAATATTTGTAATAGTGTCTTTTTTTTTTTTTCAAAAATGTATAAAGTCAAGGCCCCTGGCGGGTGTAGGCCTCCTCCAATAGCTTCCAAGTTTTTCTTGTGTTTGCTTTTTTTTGTCCAGTCGTTTCCAGTCAAATTGTAGTCAAATGAGTCCATCTTTCATCTGATAGGCGTGCTCTTCCACTTGAGCTTTCTCATATGTTGCAGAGTATCTATCACATTGGTTTTCTTCCTTATGTTTATTGATTTTATTCTATCCTTCAGCCTAATATTCAAGATGCTCCTTTCCATAGCACGCTGTGTCTTTTGTATTTTATATGCCGCATTTTTGTTGTAGATCCAGGTTTGTGAACCGTATGACAAGCAAGGTAGTAAACATCCATCCATAACTTTCCTTTTTAGTTTTATATTCAGATTAGATTTCAGTATTTCTTTTAGGCTCCAGAACTTTTTCCATGTCATGGTTATTCTCCTGTCAATCTCATCTTTGTTTCTAGAATTGAGAAAAGAGATCGATTTCCCTAGGTAAATGTAGCTCTCTACCTATTCTAAGCTCTGTAAATTGCTAACTTGTATAGGCTGTTTCTTGTCGTTAGTCATGACTTTAGTTTTTGTTGTGTTTAATTGTAGTCCTATTTTGTTACTTATTTTTCACAGTTCTGATATCATTTCTTCTAATTGGTTCGATGATCTAGAGAAGAGTACTATGTCATCAGCGAACCTAAGGTTACTCAATTTTTTTCCACTTTATGTTGATACCTTTTTGTTGTCCATTGTAGATCTTTCATTATATACTGTAAGACAGATAATAAAATTGTAGGAGATAGTGGGTCTCCCTGTTTAACGCCTCTGCATATTTTGATTATTGGCCCAAGCCTATCGAGCTTTACTCTGCTTACGCTTTTGTTGTAGATGTCTTTGAGGATGTTTATGTAGGTTTCTGGAACATTTTGGTTTTCTATCGCTTGCCAAAGGCTGTTGTGTGAGATAGAGTCGAAGGCTTTTGCATAGTCGGTAAAGGCTAGATATAGGGGCTGCTGATATTCCTGGTGTTTTTCAATTACTTGTTCCAAGGTATGGATATAATCGAGAGTGCAAAAGCCCTTTCTAAAGCCTGCCTGTTCTACGGGTTGGTGCGACTCTATTTCTCTCTCTATTCTCTTATTTAAGCAGGCTGCAAATAATTTGTATATAGCAGGAAGTAGGCTAATAGGCCGGTAGTTGTTCATATCCGCAGGGTCTCCTTTCTTGTAAAGAAGTATAATTCTCGACTCCGACCATTTCAAAGGTACTTTTTGTTCTCTTATGATTTTATTGAAAAGATTTGTAAGAGGACTAGCCAGTATGTGTATTTTCCTAGTTTGAGAGCTTCGTTGGGTATGTTATCATGTCCGGGACTTTTTTCTTGTTTGAGCTTGTCTATGTGTCTCATTATATCCACTTCTTCGAACGGTTTGATTGTTGGAGATGGTAATAAAGTCGCTGATATGTGCACATGAGTTGAATTTGTTTCGGTTTCTTTTCTACTGCTCTGGTAGGTGTACAGATCTTTGTAGAATTCCGAGGCAGTTTTAACTATATCTATTCTTGTTAACGTTCGTTTGTGTGGTATTTTTGTTTATAGCTTTGGAATCCATGTTTACTTTTTAATACCGCTGATTCTATTTTACTATAATAGGACTCAACATCTTCAGTTTCACCCCGGTGTTAAGTTGTTTGAACGCTCTTTTTTGGCTTCCAGACTTTAATAAATTTGATTCTATTATTTTAATTCTATGATTATTGTACTCATTTTTTAAGCTCTTGTTTATAGTTTTGTATAGATTGGACAGTTCCTGCCTTTCTTCTCTACTTTTAGGTTTTTTACATTGTAGTTTAATTCTTCTTTTTAGTTGCGTCGTGGGTGGGATCAAAGAATTTTTGTTTTTTCAAAATTGCTGCATACTATAATCTTTTCTTTTTGATTTTTTTCTTTTTGCGTTCGGAATTTTGCGTAAATTTTGGTTTTTGCCGAATGTAGTCTTTCATTGTTGATATCTTGCTCTTCTTAACTGGCTGCATTTTGTTTTGTGAAGTATTTGCAGGGTTTTTTAGCGCAGTTTCGGGAGACTGAGATAAAAATCTTTTATTGGTAACTTTTTGTGTAGATTTTAATTTTTTCCAGGTAGAACTACGAGCTTATCGTATTTTATAAAAGCTGTGTTACCTGCTTCTCTTTCCTCCTTCAACTGAGTCTGTAATTCCTTGCGCGTTTTTAGCACTTCTATAGGAAAATCCTGTTTAACGTAGTAGGGGGAATCTTTTAAGCATTTTTGATTTTGTTGAATTTTCAATTTTAATCCTATTGTATTGAACGTAACAGTAACAGGCCTGGCTCTTTCACCTTTTTTTTTAATTCTTCTAACAGCTTCTAAGCCATTTTCAAAATGAAAGCCAAAGTATTTATTTATTATGTATAATATGGCATTTTCCAAATCGTTGTATGACTTTTCCTCTTCTTCCACACCAAAGAAAATTAAGTTTTTCTAAATGAAATAAAAAAAAAATCTTTATAAATTATTTATTTGTAAAGAATGTTCTTCTATTTTATTTTCAAGATGTTCTTTCTTCAATTCCAGTTTTTTAAACTTTTCATTTATATTGTTGTTGATTGTATTTTTAATATCCTCTTTCATGTCGTGCATGTCTTTTATCTGTTGTAACATTTCCTTCCGAAGGTTTTCTAGCGTGTTTTTTTTATTTCTTCCATGTTTAAAGTAAAGTGGTAAATATAGTGTGATGCAGTCCTACAGTATTGTTTTTGCGGTTATTATACACACAGCGTACTCTGTTGGTGGAGTGTAGAATTAGCAAGTATTGCTGCCTCCTTAGATTTGCTTAGCTAAACAATCATTGACAATGTGTGCGTAGTTCTTTAAAAAATTTAATAGATGGCGTGACGAGTTTTTTTTTTTTCATGAGTCGCCTTTTAATTTCTACTCACTTCACTTTGTTTTATTATATTTTTTGTGTAATTACAATTAATCGATCTATCCCACTTTTCAATCACTATTCAGCTTACTGAATGTTATTTCACTCGTTTTATTACATGTAGTTTTAAATGCTTTCTTCACTTGATATTATATCTTTGTGATTGTACCCGATTGTGTTGTTATAGTTGGAAAGATAATATTTTTTGTTATTCACTAGGCTTTCACTTTGTCCTATACATTAACTTTATACACTTTTATCTAATTCACTAACTTTATTCACTTTTTGCTTCTATAAAGATATGAATATATTTTTTATTTCACTTTGAAAACAGACTCGATGTTTATGTGGCAGAGCAGCGCCCTCTCCACTCCTCTCCACTCCTCTCCACTCCTCCGACAAGATATATATGTATACTATATATTTGTAGTATCAAGGGATACATTTATTTACAATATTTTAGACATTAAAACCCAATAGCATATTATGAAATTTTGAATATTTATAAATAAATAAATATTTTTTTTGTATTTATTTCATTTTGAAATTCTTTTTATGAAATTTTCGTCATATTTCTCTTGCTGTACAATACATTAAATAAAATCTTTAAAAGATGTATTAAAAGTTTATTTACAAAGTATTTCATCTTACATTTATTTCTAATAAATATAATTATCGATTAAGTCCACTTTAACAGCTAATACATCACAGTAAAGTCTCGGACAGTTACTTAAATTACTAGTAGGTTTCTCATTTAACTTTTAGCCAGAGTTAAGGATTGTTTTACTGTTTTCTATTTGGCTTTTTAGCTCGGGATCGTTTTCGATAACGGCCTTTGCTTCTGGCGAACCGGCGGGTAGCGACTTCCCGTGGAAAGTGTCTTCAGTGTACACGTGATTAGTCTTCCTCATTGTTCCGTGCAACTGGAATGACATATTAAGCGTTGTTTTATTATAAGTCAAAAAAGCCTATACATGTCCCACTGCTGGGAAAAGGCCTCCTCTTTCGAAATATTTTTTAAAAATTAGAATATAACTGTACGAGAAGAACGTAAAGAGAATTTTCAACGTAAAGTGAGTTTTCAAGGACGTTCCAAATTTAGCAACTTTTTTGACACACTGATATGATTTTTAAAAGTAAAGTAACAGCCTAAATATGACCATTTCCTAGATATAGGCCTTCTCCGTTTAAATTACTGTAGTACTGGGTGGCTCCACTGAGGATTGGCGGACTTCTAAATATAACTTCGAAATAATTTTTTGGTAGTTTTTCAAAAATACGCAGGTGCCTCACTATGTATTCCTTCACCGCCAAGCACGTGATAAGTCAGCACTTAAAATTAACAATTTCATTCGTGCCGTCACCGGGGATCGGTGCTCAGGCTGCTCGAGTATATTGAATTAAAGGCGGGCACCTGGACATTTGTTGACAAGATGTTGTTTCATTAGAAGCGTCAAGCTAATAACAATAACTCTTGATAATAATATTTTTAACTTTCTCATAAATAATTATATCTCTTGATTTATTATTGAATAATAAGTACATTATTTAAGGATGTGTGACATTTGTAATTGAAAAGTTCAACTATAAAGACAGCATAACTTTCATTTTTATCTTCACTCTTCATTTCTAATAATATGCTAAGCTTAAATTTTTCTAACATGATAAATATAGAAGACAGAAGCCACCAGTAACATCCGTGAGGCAAAGAAAGTGACCAATAAAAAGAAACTACGAACTGCATAAGCTTACGCTTTTAGGAAAAGAATAATGAGAATATAAATACCTTGTCCCAGAAAGACATGTTAAAACCGAAATTGCAATGGAAAAACTGGTGGTGCTGATCGTGAAACTCGGCATCCGGCTGCCATGGCTGCCACCACTGCCCTTTAAAATTTATCCCAGAGTGGTCGATGATGCCGTGGTAGTAGTTGTAAAGGGCGACCATGTAGAAAGGCACTGTAAAGATACGAAATAAAATTGATTTTAATCTATCTAATACGTACGTAATAACGGAATCTCGGAAACGGCTCCAGCGATTTTCATGAAATTTAGTATGTGCGTAGATTCGGGGGCGAAAAATGAATTCATTATTAGAAAATGTCCTTTTATCCCTGTTTTCAGGGAATGAAAAATATCATTCGAATATGACGGTAAATTTAGCCGAAAAAAAATTATAATACCACGGTCGGTAATCGGGCGGCCTCGAAACAGAAGGCCGCGGTTCGTGTCACGGTCATTTACACACTTATTTTATTTTCTTTTTTTCTATACTAGATCATTGCTTTCTTTATTTTTAAATTATTAATGTCCAAAATACACAATTTACCAAAAAAAAAAGGTCCTCCAGGTACTTAGACTGAAAAGAAACTGTGCAATACTAATTAAAGTCAATAAGGAGCTGGGATTCGCAGCGTCACAAATTTTGTAGCCGAGTAAAAGCGATAAAGCTTATAAATAAACTCGGAGAAACATGGGTTTTCTGGCTATTATTGCTCACCACTGCTTGCTTCTAAGGTACATACGTTATTCCAACTCGTCTTTCTAACGTTAGCTCAGAGTCGGCAGTTTATCTATCCCTTTCCTGGCTTCTACAAGGCTTGGCAAGAAATCCCCTTTGCGATATATAGGTACTTATGATCGGCTTCCTAAAGTTGGGAACTAGTATATTGCATTTTTATCCAACAAAAAAGGTACGATCTTTTATGTTAAAGGCCTTTATTATAAATGATATGTCAAGGAAAAATCATTATTACATTTTCCTTTATGATCTATTGAACTTGGGCTTAGCTATTTAGTGCGATGGGCATTAGTTTTTTTTTTTTTTTTATGCAAGAAGATGATAAACGTGTTGGCGGTTCACCTGATGTTAAGTGATAGCTACCACCCATGGAAATTCGCAACACCAGGGTTGCAGATGCGTTGCCACCTTTTAATAAAGTGGACCGCGTCTACCTCACTCACAAGACGAAACGCAGAAGTATAACACTTCCACTTAACCTCTGTCTTCTGTGAGGTCGTGGTATTACCCCGGCTCATTCGTGCAACAGCGAACTGTTGCGTAGGTATACCACAGAGAAAGTTACTGAGAAAAACAATGTACCTAAATAAAAAACAAGGCTTATTCGACTGGAATTTAGCTACCTCAAAAATAAATCAGCTTCATGATGATCTTCTGTAAGAACATTTTAGGTTCACTCTAATTGCGTGTGAACCTGAGAAATAAAACCCCAAGTTTCGATCACTATAACCTATTTTAGACTACCTACAGTTAAAGATAATATATTCCAGAGTCAAGAGGTAAGGATACATAATTATGGCAAAGAAACTTACTCCAGTGTACAGGAATGGTGAAGAGAGGCAGGCAGGACGTAAGCTGGACATGCATGATCTCGACGGGATGGATGGCGGTCACGGAGAAGGCGGTGGGCTGCTTGTATTTGTGGTGGAGTTTGTGGAAGTGCTTGTACAGCCACGGGGTGTGGTACAAACGGTGCAGTATGTACGTAGTATAGTCCTAAAACCATTGAATGTTTAAATTATGCATATTATTGAATTAAATAAGATTAAGAATAAAATACATGATGACAATAATAATAAGTTTATAATAAATTTTAATAATAAGTTCTTTTAAATACTCGGGTACTTGAACATACAGAATAATTCATAAGTTCTGAATTTTAAAACCACTACCCAGCTACCGTCAATTATTTTGTTTGTAAAACAAATTTATTAATTAAAACAATAGTTGACGGTAGTTGACGGTAGCCGGGGTTAACTATGACATGAAGACGTATAACAACTTAGTCTGTCCCGTGACTATGAATGCTAGAGAGGGTTCGAAACTTCGGGCGTTCAAATTAAAATAAAAAACGCGATAAAATCCGTAAACTAGTTACATTTAATATGTCTAATATTCGCGTAAAACCAAGAAAACAATATGACAACATAAAAATGTCAATTTCGAGACAGTGACAAGTTGACAAGTTATATATGACAAGTTAAGTTCATGTTATTCTTATAATGTAAATACACTTTCTTACCATATAGATGAATATGACTGGAAACTGCAAGAAGAACCAAGCCCATCCGTACTCATCGAACTGATAATAGACGGTCGATGGGTTCCCGTTGTAAATGTAGCACGCCAGGAAAGCGGAGAAACTGCCAACTATTAAAAGAGACAATGTGCCGACCATTATCTCGTGCCGTTCCAGTTCCGGTGATAGCCATTTGTCCGGCTGGATCTTCCACTCGTGGGCTAAATGTCTCCTTCTCATGTAGAAATACCACTGTAACAAATTATTTCTTGAATTAACAATATTCCCATCAATTCTAATTTACCTTCAGATTTACCCATTTTTATTTATTTGAATACATGCATATTTTTTTACATTTGAAGACATTGAACTTGAAACGATATATATTTAACAATTGAATTAATAATCGTATTTTCGATTGTAAAATGAAAAAAAAATTAAAGTGCTGAAAGCACAACCATATTTCAGGATGATATTTTCATAAATTTCAATGCCTCTTGGTACAATGGGATGTTAGCGAAGTAATTTCATGTAACTGCGACACTATTTCTTCCCTACATAGTATAAAACAAAGTCGTCCCGCCTCTGTCTATTACTATGTATGCTTCGAAAATGAAAATTACACAACGGATCTTGATTTGTTTTTTTTTTTTACTAGATATAGTGATTCAAGAGAAAGGAAGAAACCGGGGCGAGTCGCTAGTCGTGGGGCACGACCTTTCGCTGCCAGCCGTGGTTCGCGCTATGGTTGACAGCGAGAGAGCGTGGGGTGGTGTCCTCGCATATTGCGAGTACGTTATCACCCGGAAGGAGGCCGCGGAGAGAGAAAGGGAGGCAACTGCCACCCTGGAAATCCGCCGCCGGAGACCAGGGCGCAGGAGGCTGGCCTACGCGCGCAACCTTCCCCCCTGATAGCGAGACCCTGAGAGGCAGACATGGGGTGTCTGTCGCTCAATATGGGGCTCGTGACGTGTGCTGTGCCAATTGCACCGGCACAGCACCATCTAGTAGAGGAGGCATAAAAAGACCATAGTCGCGCCGGGGTTGCGGAAGATTGCGTCCACGTGTTCCCGTGTCCCCGGCCGATACGATAGAGACAGGTGCAACGTGGGTTTTTAGTGGGTACCCGTTTCTCACCGGGACTCCCACATACCCTGCCACTCCCCCGATCCAGTGGTATGGGATCCATAAAGGATTTTTCCCGCAGAAAAAAAAGGGCGAGTCGCTAGTAAGTTATAATTTGGCAAGTGGAGACCCAGTTAAACTGTTAAATCATCACTGCTGCCCAAGGATATATACAACACCTGTAGAGTCACAGATACATTGTCAAGCGTGTGAGGCCTTATCCTACCTACGACACGACACGCAAAAGTATCAAGCTTCCACTTGTTGCTGACTCCATGGCGCAGTTGCCAAGGTATCGGCTTCGGCGTCGGGGGTCGTGGGTGCGATTCCCACACGGGACAACTATTTGTGTGACCCACAGATAGTTGTTTCGCATCTGGTTGTTTGTCTGTGTGAAATTTATGTTTGTAAAAGCGTCATTACAACACAGGATAATATTATCCTAAAGTAATGGCACTGCTTGGAACTACTTGGAACGAGTTTGCCAAATCTTGGAACAACTTATCATTGAGTTTTTATTACAAATAAAAACTAGACTAGTGTAGGTAATTATTCCGCTATGGTGGTATGTTTGTACAATGTGTATTATTAATCATATATATATATATATATATATATGTACAAATAAAATAAAATAATCTGTTTGCGATTGTTGGGCAAATCCGTTTTGGTCAAAAATGGATAAAAAGAAAGATTAACCCGTCTTGGTTCTGGAGGAGTCGAGTTTTTATAATAGAGATAACGAGAGTCTAGATATGTGATAAAATTACTTTTATCGTTTAATTACATTTGCGTAACGCCACCGATGACTATGACATAGCAAGGTCGTTGCGTTTATGGATATTTACGACATTTTAAATATAGTATTCTACTATTTTATTTTATTTTTTATTATTTTTTTTATTTATTTAATCTTTATTGCCAACCTTCAGTAAAACAAGGTAACAAAGGGCGGACTTAATGCCCAAAGGCATTCTCTACCAGTCAACCCAGGATGTGGTGAGAGTTTATGGTAGATGCGGTATATATATATTCAAATGTTTTAATATATAAATAAATAAAAATTAGCTTCTACTTTTAACTACAGTCCATATCTTAGGTCGAATTTGTCTTTAACAGGTCTCTTTAAGTTGTCTATAATAAAAAAATAATGTAAAGTAAGAGATAGATGGGTAATAAAGTTATTCCAGAAGTTTTCCCCAATTTTGTATTCATATTTTTATGTATCCTGCGTTGATTTTACTTTGCACGGTTGATTGTTATGTTATTAGCTCTTTATTTTTAGTTTAAAATTCATAACGCAATAAATGTGTCAGATATGACGAATGGGCTGTTGAAAAATTAGCAAAACAATGAATGTAAACTGTTTGTTGATTTCCAGTTTTGTCTTTTGAGTTATTAAAATAATTGAATAAAAATTCGCAAAAATTGGATGGTTTCGGAAATCCTCATTTTTATTTACAGTACGTTTGTTTTTTATCACTACGCAGATATAGATTGAGCTTTACTTCGATACAAAGAAAGAACGTCTCAGAAAACAATAGATGACATTGGGTGAATAGTACACGTGCACCTTAATACTTGATTAAGTCAGATAACGAGCGGGGTATGTGACCGAAGGCAGGTGGGTTCGATTAACGCTGACGACAACGTGAGATTAGTAGAGCTATCGTCATGATAGTGAGTCATGAATACAAGTGTTAAATTAATCAAAACGGAACAATATAATTAATGGGTTTTATAAATGAAACAAATTTAACATATTTATCGCGTTCATTTTTAATTTTAATGCCCAACGTTTCGAATCCTTTATGCAGTTATCGTCACGGGACAGACTCGAGCGGTTTCTGAAACACTGATCATCGTAGATGTCAACTAATCAGCTGTCAAATGGTTTTTCAAATGTCATTTGAGTTGTCAAAAGGATGGTAAAACTCTTTGAATTGATCATTCTGATCATTAAGAAGATCATTCTGGTTAATTCAGAGTGTTCAACCATCCTTTTGGCAACTCAAATGACATTTGAAAAATGTGATAATGAAATTTGAAAAGCATTTGACAGCTGATTAGTTGACATATACGATGACCAGTATTTCAGAAACCAGGCGTGAAGTCTTGGTTAACTTTAAAATTAAAAATAAACGCGATAAAACCATAAAATTAGTTTCATATAAAATGTGTAATCATCAATAGGTTTATGTAACTCATTTAAAATGTATAAATCCATAAATTAGCGACAATTTTATTTATGGTGACTTTTGCTATTGGAACGAAGTTTCCTATCGGGTGTTAGAATATTCCGTCATGAAAATACCATGGCAACAAATAACTTTTTGACATTTACATATAATACCAAGTTATTTTTTATTTTTTTATATATTAAAACGTTGCCCTTACTTTAGGATAACATTATCCTGTGTTGTAGGGACGTTATACATACATCGATTTCACGTGGATAAACATCTAGATGCGAAACAACTATCTGTGGGTCACACAAATAGATTACTCGAGTGCGAATCGAACCCACGTCCCCCTCCGCTGTAGGCAATACGTTCGAAACTGCGCCGCGGAGGCATCGAACGAAAATTAAACCGTTATCGATTGAATTTAATGTCTTTTTCGCGAACAAAGTACTGGCAAAGGACAAAATATTTAATTATTGGAAATATAATAAGTGTATCAACAACAATATACTATGAAAGAAACTTCGTTACACCCGAGCGTTCCACGACACTCTCGCATTGCTTTTTATTTTTGACAGTACGGATAACTCAATGATGCTCTGTGGATTCCACATGAATGACATCCAAAATTTGGAACGAATTTGTGCGTCAAATCTCTTGCGACAATAATGTAATGCAAATGTAGAAGTCGTTTTTACGGTTCGTACCCAAAGGGTGAAACGGGACCCTATTACTAAGACTCCGCTGTCTGTCTGTCTGTCCATCCGTGTGTCACCAGGCTGATCACCAGGCTCTCATGAACCGTGATTGTTTTGCTTATTTTATAGATAATGGTACGGAACCCTTCGTCCGCGAGTCCGACTCGCACTTTTCTGTTTTTTTTAATAGTATAAATGTAACTATCTCGCCTGAACTGAAGCAATTTTTCTCACGAATCAAGAAATATACAACTCGATGGTTTGAAAGTTTTTTTTCACTAATAACTTCACAAACAAAAACAAAACTCAGGCAAATTCTATACTTATATCACTACTCCAGTAAATCTCATTCACTATAATGTTTAATTACATACATGCTTGTAATAACACAAAGAATTGGAATATGCGTTTAAAATGGGATGTAACTTTGTGTAAAATTTAACAAGATAATGTTTTTAGCGGCCTGCTTATTTCACGGAATTATGATTAAATTCATAGTATTCCGTTCCAGTATCATTAGCGCCCATTGAGAATGTCTGTTATCTGCAAACAAGGCAATAGATATTCTAATTTGTTTTAATAATTTTCCGAGAAATGCTCCCTTCGGGCCACTTAAGAGGCTTATTCGATGGGTGAAATTCCCATTATACAGCTACGGAATGAAATTGTTAATAAAATTTACTCGAAAAGCCCATTTTGATCAAAGGCATTAAATTAATAATATTATACTCTCGCTGTCATTTACGGAATTTTAACAATTTTAAATTGTTATATGGAAAAAGAAACTGGAAATCGCTACCCATTCTGAAGTAAATCCTACAAAGCTCGCCGATATTCAATGCTTTCGGTTCGGACCGCAAGCGAAGGAATTGTTACTCAAATTATCGTCTCTCAAAATATTCCACGGAAGATGTCGCCACATGTGCAAAACATTTTTGTCAATGCGTTCTTAAACCACAATCTACTTTCTCTTTATGAACATTACAATGTTTTATATTGATGACTGTAATGTTAACAGGTTTAGAGCTCTTATCAATGAAAATCCTACCAATCATTATCCAACGCAACGCTTATATACCTTTTCAATTAAGATAACTCGTCATAAAACTTTTTTAAATTATGTTCACTCACTTGTTCTTGTGTTTTACAGATGCCTTTATGTCATAACTACCTGACTAATAAGCTATTTTCTATATCATACAACTATGGAACATCATCTAAAATTCACAACAGATTGATAATTCAGTACAGATTGATAATGGGTTTAGCAACAAAATTATCTAGTGACTAACAAAGTTGTCCAAAATAAGCGCGTTAAAGTAAAATATATTAAACACTATAGAAACTATATACATTACGTACTCTTGCCACGGTACACGCTATCAGTATTTCAAAATAATGTATCGGGCTTATGGTAAATATGCTAATCCTCACCATCCCTCTATTATATATTATTATATTATGTATTCAGATATTTCTAAACGATAGCTTTGTTTAAACTATGCAAATACTCACATGCAAGAATCCTCCAATCGCAAAATAAACCCCAAAGGACACGACGTGAGCCCAAATAAATATCACGCTAAAGTACTCCATTTTCAGGTTTCTCGACGTTAACATGTTGAAAATCTCCTCCGTAGACATGTTACGGCCGCTCTGCGTGTGTCCCGTTATTTGTTTCAGCGCCGAAACCAGAATGACAACCCATTCTCCTGGAAATTAGAAGAATGAACTCCTGTTAGGAAATGATATCGCATTCGAAGCATTTAAATTTGTCTCGATTACAACTTGGTTCGCAATTAACATTGTATCGATTTTTGAAGTTACATTTCTTTTGGCGCGTTTAAAAAGTATGAGAACTAAATTTATACTAGGCTGAGGCGTCAGTGCGCGAATCCCGAAGTCTTTGGTTCAATTCCCGCAGTGGCGAGAAACTTTTCATTCCTTTTTTCTACAAAAATTTAGAATAAAAAACTATTTTCTTAAGTGCAGAGATTAGCACTATAAAACTTTAAAAACATCAATTTCATTTTACGTAATTTTCATTAGATAAAATACATTAAAGAAAAAACATGGATCACGACCCCGATCAAAAATGTAAAAACGAAATATGAAGTTAGAAAAAAAAAGAAACTATGAAATATAGCTGAATATTTTGTTTTGAATTGACTTTTGAAACTATAATATTTCCAATACTTGTAATCTAACTAGCTATCACCTGGTTTGCAATCATCCCATTTGTTTATTATCCAATTTAAAACCATATAAATCAAATCAAATAATAATAAATACTTCAGGACAAACATCGCAATCTTTAGTTCCAAACTAAGCAATAGCACTATGGCACACTCGATAACTTGACGACCCGAATGGCGTAGTGGGTAATGTACCTGCCTCCTGCGCCAGAGGGTGTGGGTTCAATCCCCACTACTGGAAAAATATTGTGTAATAAACATAGGCTGTTTTCTAGTACCCATAACACAAGTGTTGCTTAGTTTGGGACTAGAAAATGTTGTGTAAAAATGTGTTCTAAAATATTAATTAATTTATATTTATAACTCATCAATATAATTAGGCATACTTTCGATCGTTACCAATCGTATGTATGCTTAATTTAAAGTTGAAATTATTGCCATGCAATGCTATAAAGAATTAACGTGAGCTGACGTAGAAATATGTTGGTAAGCTATAATTAATAATTTAATTGAGCGAAACAGATTAGATTAGATGGTTTTTAAATTCAAATAACCAATAAGCAGATAATGATTACATCCGTAAGCACTGTTACTAGATTATTGTTTTGATATAAGTAAAAGTAAAGTAAAATATAATTTATTGTACACCAGTAGAAATAAAGGATTTATAACTAAAGACACATGGGTACAACAGGCGGCCTTATCGCTAAAACAGCGATCTCTTCCAGGCAACCTTAGGGCAGTGGATTCATTAAAAGAAGAAAGCGGTAGGGTGTACTAAACAAATGATAAGAATAGTAAATACACAAAAAAAAAATATATATACATATAGACAGAAAAAAAAAGATATATGATGGACGACAGATAGTATATTAAGAGGATAGGTAATGACATTTTAATTTAGTTTTAAAAATGTGAAGAGATTTAGATAGTTTAATATCTAAAGGAAGAGAATTCCAAAGAAGTATACCAGAAACCGTAAAAGAATTAGCATAGAAGGAAGAGGAGTGACTAGGAGTAGTTAGTAGAAAATTATTTTGAGAACGTAGAGAAAAATAGTGTAAATCATTTAGATATACAAATTGATCTTTTAAATAATGAGGAGTGGTAGAATTGAACAGAATGCAGTAAAGAAGATGAAGAATATGAGTATTCCTGCGAAGACGAATCGGGAGCCACTTGAGCTTATGGCGGAATTCGGAGATATGGTCATACTTTCGCAACCCAAATATGAACCTTATGCAGTAATTTTGAAGCCACTCAAGTTTATTAAGTTGCTCCTCAGATAGATCCGGATAACAAGTGTCCGCGTAGTCAAGGATCGGTAGAAAAAGAGACTGAGCCAGAGCAACTTCGGTAGAGATGGGGAAGACATTGCGCAATCTTCGGAGTGAGCCAACTGCAGCAAACATATATAATAAGTATATATATATATATAATAAGTTGAAGCCTCCTTGTTTCTTTACCGGATCGAATTTAAATATTGAAACAACAATAAGATACTCACAGCTTCATATAATTTAAGAAAAAAAGTAACTAAGAAGACATGGGCCGAAATTGAGAAATATAAACAATTCAAAGATAACTTTAAATTAAGCTGACGAAATACAAAATTTCTTTAAAACCACTATGACTACAGAACATTGTGTATCCTACAAAATGTCTTGTGTATGTTTGTCTGCATGTGCATATATCTGAATCATAACAAACACTCCTAATTTGAAAACTTATTTATATTGGAAATTGCTCCTCAAACTAAATAAAAACAAATTTTAACAGTATTATTAATGTTTTAGGTCCAGATAACCTCGGGTTCAGAAATTGTACGTAATTAACTGCAGTTCATTACCATCGCTACTGAGAAGGTTGAAAATTAAAATAGATGATTTTTTTATATTAGTATGGAAATTTATGTAATACACTTTTTATATTTTTTATAACGCTTGGTTTATTAATCTGCGCTAGAGGAGGTATTTGTATATCACTATCGGTTATAGCTATAGGTTTCCAAGATTTGATTTGTTAGATTTAGGCCCGACCAGAATTAACATCTTAATGATCAGAATGATCAATTCAAATAGTTTAACCATCCTTTTGGCATCTCAAATGAAATTTGAAAAACCATTTGCAAGTTGGTTAGTTGACATCTACGATGATCAGTGTTTCAGAAACCGGGCGTTAGTATTATTTTTAAGGGTTAAAAATTTGTTTACAACCATAACACCATCGCGTTGGCGAATTGACAAATGCTCAACCCGAATGGATTTGTGAACGTCAAGAAATAACTTGATAGGAGAATTTGTAGATGGAGTTGCTGTTCGAATTTATTCCAATGTCAGAAAAATAGACCGTTACAACGCACACATGACAGCTGAGAACGCGAAAATATATATATATAGTGAAATTTTAACATAAGGAAAATTGCCTCCTAGTGATGCAATCCCTTAGGGTGTGACTATAAATATCTGCCTTTTATAAACGGTATAAGTAGGGATAGATTCACCAGTAATACTGTGTCACAATATTTATGTTTCCTATGGGTTCGTAATTCGGGGCTGCGGGCACAACATTGTATTAAGCTATGAAAAAAACTTCGCCAAAGGGCAAGCATACGAGTATATCGACGACCCTAATGGCGTAGTGGGTAGTGTACCTGACTCCCGCGTCAAAGAGTGATGGTTCGATCCCCAGTACTGAAAAAATATTGTGTGATGAACATAGCGTTTTTCTAGTATCTGGGTGTTTATATATGTATAATATGTATTTATTTACAAAAGAAAAGTATGTTTAAGTTGTTCAACAGTTATCTAGTACCCATAGTACAAGCGTTGATAAGTTTGGGACTAGAGAACGTTGTGTAAAAATGTGTCCCAAAATACTGATTATTTATTTATTTAGCTCTAATTCGAGTGAAAACCCTAAAAGGCATTGTGGGACTTAGTGACAAATAAATTACTCAACAGGCCGCTTGATGAAAGAGCAGAAATGGTAAGATTGCGTGGACTTATTTCATCATCCTTTTTTTATTTCCAAAGTCAAGAAGCGAAAATATATGTAACTACTACTAACTTTGAAAGAAAATGTGGGTGTACCCTGATATACTGAATACATCTGCGTAACACTTTTGCGTGATGCTATGTTGTGTGGTTGATTTGCTGTAATTTTTTAAAGGGTTCCGTTTTCTTCCTCCAAAATCATCAGACCTATATTAGAAATTTTAATTTGGAAATTTTCCCGTTTCGGAGTTCCTTTCGAAATTTTGCAAATTAAGTAATCTATATATGAAGGAGTTATGCTCGAACATACACAAAAAAACATCCGAATTGATAACCTCTTTTTTCAGTCGGTTAAATGACACCTAGGTCAGGATAAAAAATGTTTATGAAACACATGTTGATGTCATCATGTAAATCCGTAAGTGTTGGTGATAAATTTAGCTATATAATAACACTGACCTCGTAAAGTAGCTCCGAAAGTAAAAACAGCTAGCGTAGCAATAAATGTACTTATGAACTCTGGTAGCCGTTTAAAGAATTTTTCTAAGGGTTCTGCGTATCTCTCAATCCATTTTACACCATCAGTTAGTGGGTCCCAGTATTTAGGATGACCGTGTTGTTCTGTCGAATCTTTGTGGCCATTTGGTCCCGTCGTATCTTTGTACGTCCTCTTCCTTACGTCCCCTGTCATCCTGAAATCTGAATCCGCCTTCGAGTTCACGCTTTTGTTAAAGTTGGAATTTTTGTAAAATAACAAAAAAAAATAGAAAATTAAAGACTGTTTCACATTTTTCGAGTAAGTAAAGCCACAAACTTTTATATAGTATTTAACGGTCGTACTATTACATAATATTTTTATATACGATATTCAATTTAATTCAATATCGTTTCCTTTTACAAAAATGTCTGTTTTTCTCTATTTCATTTTTTTTTTGTTGGCGGGAATATCCAGATGCTCTTATTTCAATTCGTATCTATTACATTACCTCGTTTATCACTTTCACTCTCTATCAGGTTGCCAGATTTCTTTTAGGGAATAATTTTCACGTTCACACCACGTCTCTTTTACTGTATTTATCATTTGCAAATGAATAAGTTTCGTCGCGTACCTCATGATTTGCCAGTTTCATTGATAAGAAATTTGCAGCATTCTTTTTACGATTATGTCTTATCAAGTGATTATTCTGTTCAAAATAAGGAATGAACGAAAGACAACAATCGATTCGGAACGTTTATAATTACAATGCCAACGCGAAAGAGATCAATGTTCAAATAACTAATATATTTGACTTTCACTAATGATAATCATTCATACACACTAAACTTATCCGTGACCAAGAACGGTAGGCACAGCTACACAGCAGCACAGAACAGCACTGTCTGAAGTTTCTGCATACTGTCTAGGCCCACTAGCAAATCGTTAATAATAAAAATATATCACTCTAAAATACATGTCAGAAGTGAAAGCTCTTAGCTTCACAAACTTGTAAACATATTTTTTGGGTCGTAACGAAATATTTGTAGGAACTATTTTTATTAGAAATTATTTTTGGCCAAAATATATACGTAGTAATCATTTTCATTTATTGTGTTGTTTCACCGGAAAAAGAATGATAATTATATAATTAATATAAAAAAGCTGTATAAATTTAATAATATACATATCAAATATAAAAGAGGTATCAATTTTATAAATTTTAATCAAATTCGAAATTACTTTAATGAATTATAATTATGTATCTGAATATAATGGCCAGTTAAGTTCAGAGCTTTTTCTCTAAAGAAAATTTCTTTTACAAAAGTTTTCAGTTCAAAATTCTAATAATCAACAGATGCAATGACTGCTATAAACATATTATTATATTAATTATAGTTGGCAGAGTCAAACTATACACTGACTACACTGGGTACACAGTTTATTGATCCAAAGATGACTATTTCAAATAAGTCGTCATCATTAATAATTAAAGATATCGCCATTCAAATTTTTGACCGGATTGTTTCACATTTTAGGCAGAAGACAAAGACATTTAAATTATTTTATTTGCGCAATAAAAAATCAACAATTTCAAATAAATAGTAATATTTTAAGCGTTAGTTTTGATTGCTGTTGTTTTTTTACGAGGAAAGTTGGCGAGGAGTCTGTCCACCTAATGTTAAGTGGATACCTACAGCACCTGAGGGGCTTGCAGATGCGTTGACAACCTTTAGAAAAGTAGACCCCGGTTACCTAACTCAGCTGTCGAAACGCTAAAGTATAATAACTTCCGGTTTTCTGTGAGGCCGTGGTGTTTTCCCGAGCCTGCCCATTCTTTTTTTTTATGTGAGGAAGTGGCAAACTAGCTGGCGGTTCGGTTGATGTTAAGTGATAACCGCCGCCCATGAACAGTCGCAACACTCGTAGGGTTGCAGATGCGTTGCCACCTCTTAATGATATGTGCCCCGGACACCTCACTCACCAGACGAAACGCAGAAATGCAACCCTTCTACTTTACGCCGGTCTTGGTGGTACTTACCCGGACGGACCTGCCCATTCTTGCAACAGCGAATGCTGTTGCGTGGCCTACAGTTCTACAGTTCTCAAAAGACAAATTTCGACTCTAAATTACAGTATCAACCACAATCACAGTACACTGGCTAGGTTCACCAAGATATCTGACAGTTAAACCCTTTAATCTTTCCAGTGACCACGAATTCTGCAAAGTATTTCTTACTTGGTGGTTGAAAACAAAACTAACACGATGAAATACGTATTTATTTTGCGTAAATCCCAGACTAAAAAAAAATAACAGGACTCCGCGCCACGCGTGTCAAAATTGCGAATCATTAGAGGGATGCCAGATGAATGAAAGTTTCCGATTTTTTTTAAATTATACTTCTTGTGGCGCTTTTGGAAACAATTATTATGAGAGTAAAATTATTTCGAAGCGCGCTCACACCGATTCCCTAAAATTTATATCATGTCGCTTTTTTCAGGTATCTCATCGGAACAATCGAATTATTGGCCATGAAGTGACTTGGGCACATTCATTGACGATGAAAGCTTACGCATTGTTGGAGGAATCCATCTGGGAGCACCGATTTATCAACCCCACCAATGCCCTTTTGGAGTCAATATTGATAAACATGGTCTCCATGGCTTGTCTGGAGAAAAAATTGCTGCTAAAATTACCACTACTATGGGTACAAATAAGCAGTGGCATTATACATTGATAAAGATAACTAAGACTTATATAATTATAAAAGAAACCTCTCTATTACATCCTAGGCGGTGCAGATGTAACCACGAATACACGTAAAATAATTTCACGGAGATATAAAGTCAGTGTAGTGTAGTCTACCCAATTATTGAATTTAATTGAAATGACGTGGATTTCAGTCTAAATAAGATTTATTTTATAACAGAATTTGACTATTATTAAGTCTTACTGTCGATAAAGTAAGAACATTTTTTTTTTCGCAATAAACGTGAGGAGAGCGGAAATTATCTGCCAATCATTGGCTTCTTTATCTTTTTATAAAAGAAATTTATATTTGTATATTTTGAATACATTATTGTGTAATGAAAAAAATAATTTCTTTTCTTAGTAACCATACCCTAAGTATATGATTGTTAAAGAACATCCTCGAAGATTACATTTTAATTGTAATATAATTTTTTGCACTTACAATGTCGGACAACGTCGGAGGCTAATACTCAAGAACCTTTCCTCCCCACCGGTTATCGCTTCTACGAACTATATGGCCGGCCCATCTCCCATGTCGGTTACCTTTGGTGTACTGCGGATGTCTTCTGAGCCGCGTCTATGTGCTGTTTTCAAGAGTCATCTTGAATCGTCTCGCTTCCAGACTCGACGATATTTAGCCTCCCGAACAAGCCGGACTCCGAAAAGGCTTTAGTACCATATACCACATACACTCTGCGGCTGATTATACAGAAGACTGAAGAGTATAATCTGCCTTTATGTCTTGCGTATGTGGACTATGAGAAGGCCATCGGTTCTGTCGAAGTTTGGGCGGTACTCCAGGCCCTCCAACGGTGCCAAATTGGCCATCAGTATATCGAGGTGCTGTGGTGTTTATATAACAAGGCTACGATGTCCGTCCAAGTACAGTCCGGTAGTACCAATCCTATCCAACTGCTCAAGGATGTAAGACAGGGTGATGTAATATCCCCGAAACTCTTCACCGCAGCGTTGGAAGATGTTTTCAAGTTTCTGGACTGGAAAGGACGTGAAACCTATCCGAGTCAGATCGCTCTGTGTTCGTCGCCCAATTCCTATATTTATCATGTTGGCGGTACAGTGTATTTAGTTTTTGAAGTGAAATTAGTAAAATGGCGAACATTATTAGTGAAAATAACGTTTTTAATAAAAAAAATTCTCGAAAACTATAAGTGACCGCCGAATTCTGCTTGTTGATTATTTCAGGTCGAAAAACGCCCGGACGCTAATGGAAAAAATACCATATATACCTTTAGTTAATTATTTTAAACTAGTACTAGTAAAGTAGAGCCGTGATAGCTCAGTGTCCGGGCGCTCGCCTTTAATTCAATATACTCGAGCAACCTGAGTTCGGCACCAATGAAGTTTTTAACTTTAAGTGCTGACTTATCACGTGCTCCGCGGTGAAGGAAAACATCGTGAGGAAACCTGCATATTTTCGAAATAATAACAAAAAAATATATATATTTCGAAAATATGTGAAGTCCACCAATCCGCAGTGGGGCTGCGTGGTGGACTATGCCCTGATACCCTCTGTATAGAGGAGGCCTTTGCCCAGCAGTGGGACATGTATAGGCTATTACTTTACTTTTTTTAAAGTAGTAAATTTCTGGCTATGTAATTGCATACATGCACACTCACTGACATACACTTAGCTGTGGTAGTAGTACACTGTTGCAGGAATGGGCACGTCTGTCCGGATAAGTAGTACCACCGTTAGGTCTGTTAGAAGACCGGGGTGAAGTGGAAGTGTCATACTTCTGCGTTTCGTCCGGTGAGAGAGGTAGCCGGGGCCCACTTCATTATAAGGAGGCAATGCATTTGCAACCCTATGGGCGTTGCAGATGTCCATGAGTTATCACTTAAAATCAGGTGAACCGCCAGCTCACTTGCCACCTTCTCACATTAAAACACACACACACACATACACACTCAACACACAGTCACACACTTCTTCTGTTGTGTTTAGAATTAGTATTTCGTAACTGCAAGAATGTAAATGGAGAGCATATTGTGACAGGAGTTGAGATTTGAACCTCAATGTCACTAGCCCGTTATTATTCTACAAAAATTACATCATTCTACAAAAACTAATTATTCTACAGAAACTAATATTAATTAACGTGGATTAGGTTCTCAGACACACGAACTTGTGAACATAAGGTAACATGTTTTTTTAACAATTTACGACACAAATCACAATATCTTATCGGGTTCGTTCAACCAGTACATTGATAATTGAAATATAAATCAAATATATCGTTCAATAACTATAAAACAATGAATTTATTTTAACACCTTATAAAACTTACGTTGATTATTTATCTATTGTTTTCAATTGGGATTTTAATGCAGTATATTACTTTCTACTTCTAGTTCTAGTCTAATGTAGACTAATAATATTTTGTTTCACAAAATTATGGTAAGAATTGGTCATTTTGATAAAAATAATTACCTATTTCTTCACATATCGTTTTAGCCATTAGGAAGTAGGTAATAAGATATTCAGAAGTACCAGTCATAAATATAAAATTTTATTAAAAGAAATTACTCAAATCTATTACACATTGTAACTTATCATTCACTTTTGCCATCTATACGTTTATGTAGTAACTACGGTAATAATTCTCAGTAGCTTTCTTTTCTACTGCGTGGTTCCAACAATATGTACCTAGATGGCGCTTTAAAATTAAATCATATTTTATAAATTGTTTTACATAACCATCGTCCTAGTGACTATGGTATAGTTAAAATAATGGAAAGCTGTTCTTATCATGATAAGTAATTTAAATTTAAAAAAAAAATGCGCGCTTTAAGACGTAATTTTTCATATGAATAACTTAGTATAATTATCTCTAGAAAGATGGCGCTTATTATAACATTATATATTAATGACATTATAAATT